AGCCTGTCTCAACTTTTCTCCTTTCTCACACCATGACCTGGCGTACTTCTGGGTGACTTTCGTTCATTGCCTTATTTTATTCGCTAACTCGCCCACCTAGGGAAGGCTGTTCCTGAGAAAAAGCTGAATTTGGGAGCCCCAATTCCATTCGATTTAAATGCCTGTGCTCCGCAACAAGAGGAGCCACCGCAGTGAGAAGCTGGGGCACCGCCTGGCAGAGCAGCCCCGACTTAACACAACTAGAGAAAGCCTGCACACAGCAAGGAAGACCCAGCACAGCCAAAAATTAATCAACTTTTAAAACAGAACTAACTATTCTTCAGTGACAAAATATCATCCCACACATCTCTAGCAATTAAAAACTGCATTTTAAGATGGGCTGATTCACCTTTAATACATATGTGTAAATTATTTTCCATAGTCGCCTCCAGAGCGGACTCATTGTATTTTGAGTTCTGTTTTTCTCAGCTGCTACAGGGTCTAGACCACTAAAAAGTACACCCTAGAGAATACATAAAAAATATACCTGAGGGCTCCCAGTAGGGTCCTTCCAGCTATTCACCAGGCTTGTTCCTAAGAACTCAGTCACTCGGGTCCTGTCTGCAGTCTTACTAGACAGGTGATGTTGGGGTGATGTTGAAAATATCTAACAATTGCACCAAGGTACTGGTGCAAGGTACTGATGTCAAAATAGATATTGCCTTTAAACCTGCTTGGGCACGCTGGTATCCACAGGCTAATTTCAGGCCCTCCAGGTCAGGGGCACTGTTGGAGGCTCCTTGGCCTGGCCTTGTCTGCCAAGCCCTGCCACCACAGGCTGTCATTAATGAATGTCTGCTGCTGTGGTGACAGCCTAGAGGTGGTTTGTGACAAGTGGCAATCTTCCCTAACCTCTCGGGGTGACATGACATTAAAGGGGAGAAGGTCCCTGCTATGTGAGTCAAACACCACCCACCCAGAGTTGGCAGTGGGACAGCTTCCACCATATTTGTTTAGAGGTTTCTCCCTAACCTGGGAAATCATACAGACAGAGGAGCTACATACAGTCCCTCGGGTCGCAAAGAGTCGGACACGACTTAAACCACCACCACAAGTCCCGGAGAAGCCATTTACCCAGGTCTCACTGTCACAAAGCCCCTCAAATTTAGATTTTTGATATGATTTCCAAGTGAGGTTAAATGTACAGACCCAAAGATAAGCTGACTGAAGAGAAAGAGAAGACGGTTATCTTTAAATTTGGTCTTATTTTCAGAAAAAAGCATCTATAGTCCCTCATAAATTCAAATGTCTATAAACTCTGCCATTTCCTTGGGAATATCAAGCCATACACAACTTTTTTGTTTTTTGCTGTTGTAACTGCCATTTATTTGTTAGATACACATGCTTTTCAAAGCACAAGCTTTGTCTCAGGCTTTGTCACTTTTGCTTTTGATACATATATACTGTATATGGTTTATTTAAAAAAATCCCCTGCTTTTTAAAAGGTAGAGTTGATTTATACTATTGTATTAGTTTCAGATGTCACTTTTTAATATGTGGAAAGCCTGGGAAAATGGAAATGGTCAAGGTCTGGGTCTTCCCAAAGTAACTTCCCAACATTGGTCTCACAGTCAAAGCTCTGTTATCAGGTCAAGGTGGTCAGTCTGATCTTCTCTTCCCTGAAAACAAGTCTATTCCCCAAAGTCTGCTCAGTCTATCTTATAAGTAAACTTCCCTTTGGGCTGTCTGAGGAAGCCTGAGAAGGCCAAGCCCGACTCAACTCAAGAGGGACCAGTTTAGGCTAATTCTGAGAGCCCAAGGCTCACAGTAGGAGCACAGTAAATATGCCCCAACCTCAAAAACATGACCTGCATAACCAGAGCAGCTATGGACCTGAGGCTTGCTAATGTGATCCTGACCCAGGAGCCAGCTCAGGGCCCCAGGGGATGCGAGGGGAGCAGAGAAGCAGCCAGGCCACAGGTTCTTCTTTCCACACTTGCCCCCTTTCCTCTAAAGAAGTGCCACATTTACCTATCTCACACACTGACCACCTCCTCACACTCCATTTGCAGAAACGAGTCCACTGCTTTAAACATGTTTGAGGACAACTGCCATAGCGCAGTCACCTCGGTAGCAGAGATGTGCATCTCTTACATCTCAGACTGCGGGACTGCGGCAGCTCAGGTTGAGAAGGGTCTGGGAGGGGATGAAGTGCAGTCAGGGTCGCTAACTCGATGAGCCTAGCTCCAGCGATCTGGGCTCCAGTACACTGGGCAGTTGGATCTGCGGTGTGGGAAACGTGCACTCACACAACGAGTATTGTTCTGTTTCTGGCCTTTTGGGCAGATCTGAGAGGGAAAGGCGGAGAGAGTGGGGTAATGGGGGGCTTAAGGAAACCCTCTTCCTAGCCAGTTGTTGAATCATGACTTAGAGGAGCCTGGGAGATGCAGTAGCTGAGAGGAAGGAGCAGGCCCGCTGGGCCCCAGGCTGCCAGGGTCCGCTTTGCTCAGCCACCCCTGAACTTGGGCTAGCCACACATCTTCTGGACCCCTGCTCTCCCCGTGTGAGGTGCTCTAGCCATCCATGTTTCTCGCCTCATCTATATCTGTTGCTGGCTTTAAGTACCAAGATTTCAAATTGAGCTCAACCTTGCCCTACAAGATCAATTATAATATGTCTATGAAAGTTGAAATGTTTACTAAAAATGCACCCATTTAAGCCATAGCTTCTTGAAAATGAATTTAAAGTCATTAGCTTCTAGCCACTGGAACAAAGTATTCCTTCCAGTTTAGAGGGTTTGGCCAAGGAGAACCTGCCAACCCTTTTCACTTTGCACAACAGCATTAAGGGGTGCAATCACTGGGTTTTTGTCTTGTTTCATTTTTCAGGATCTCAAATGCTTTAATTACCTTATCCTGGGTTTATAACTCGTTCCTCTTTGCACATTGTTTTTCATCTAGGAATATAGAACAACTTGCTACCTTCAAATGCAGGAAAAGAAGGATAATTATTAAGCATATTTTAAACACTTGAAGTTTCCTGCATGAAGCTATGGAAGTTTAAAATATAAAGAAGTTGAAAGAAGCTTTTGTCAAATATTTCATTTGACATCTTTGTAAATCAGACAAAAATACAACCCCAATAGAAGAGGTGAACAAACTTGTCAAAACAGCTGAACAAGTCCATACTATGTGTTCATTATAATTGCCTTTGGGTACCAAGAGTGTCGAAGACAATTAAGGAAAATTTATGAAAGTAATAATAAGGTTTGTATTTGTCTAAATACAAGCTGCATATAACACCCATCAAAGCTATATTCATCAAGGAGTTAAGAAAAGCATTTAAGTTTCTTCTTCTACATGATAAAGATTCATTTAAAGTTAAATGTAAAAGACAATTGATGGTGTTTATTCATTTAGTGTCTCTTTTCAACAGTTTAAAGTTGTACTTTAAACTGAAAATTGTGTGTGTTCAATCTTTAGAAACACACATATTTGCTTTCCATTGTGAACCTGGACAATCTGACCTATTAAAAGGACACTATGCTTTCAAAGACATATTAAAATGAAATAGTCCATTTTTTATTGTTACCATGGAGGCCTCTCCAGCATAAAGCTTGTTTTCAACTTCTTTGTGACATTTATCACTGACTCTATATAGTTAATGCTTTTGTCGCTATTACCACCTCAACTAACCCTCCAGCTCAATCTTGCAAGAATTCAGAGAGAACTTCGCCACTCTTTCTCTACTCCCCAATACAAGTTTCTTTTGTTTGTTCTTGGACTTAGATCACACTTAGAGAAAGTGGCAGCTCTGCTGAAGAGAGGACTGGGTCGTAGTGTAAGGGACCCCAGATATTAATTCTTGACTAGAAGGAGGGAAGCTAGAGAGGGCTGAGCTGGAGGGCAGGGGAGAAGGAGAGCTTCTCCATTTATGAGGAGGGGTCGCTTGGTGCTTCAGTTCCAATGTGGATTGATTTCCAAGATCAGACAATCCCACGAGGCAAACCTAAGCATACAGGGGACTTCCCCTGGAGGTCCAGTGGTTAAGACTTTGCCAGGGAACTGGGGAACTAATACTCTGAATGCAATAAATAAATCAAATTAAAACAAAATTATTTTAAAATAACAATTGTTAAAAAAAAGTATACAGCTCCATCCCAAGGTGAAAGATAAATGCTTTTTGTATTTATTTGGTGGTTTGGATTATTCATGAAATTCTAATATATGGCCTGGGAATGTATTATAAGATTAGAGGGAGCAGAGCTGAGAGAAGCAGGGGAAGGCGTATTATTTGTGTTTGATTTCATTTCACATTACAATGAGTTGCTATTCCTTTGAAGACTAACTGATCAGGAGAGGCAACTAAATGTGGGCAGTGTGTTTGTGAAAATTGTTAATATGAAAGTAAATATGGTTTAGCAAAGTTAACTGAAATGAATGAAAACTTTTCCAAATTTCATCTCCAGAAGGAAAAGTATTAAACAAACCTCAGTCTAACATGCCAGTTTTAAAGAAAGCAGGAGCAAGTAAGCAGACGTTTTAGACTGCAAATAAGGCTCAAATTCATTACAAAAAGACACTGGGCACTTAAAAGGAAAGTTGAATTTATTGATTATGTAACTAATAATTTTAGGAAGCCTCCTTAAAATGCTAGTTGTTAGAATGTCCAATTGTTACAGATTATTCATGTGTGACAAGAAATGAAAAAAAAAATGTGTGTATGTGGGGGTGTGTGGTGGAGTCTTCATCGGCGCGATTATCTTGCCAGTCAGTTTCTCCAAAGGAAGGAGATTTATCCCTGATACAGCCCACACAGAGGAGGGGACCCGGCTTAGGAGGAGTGAGACTTCAGCCTTCACATTAGAGCTCCTTGCCGCTTCTCCCACCAGATCCTGCCCCCTTGTCTCCAGGCACCTTGCACGCTCATGTGGACACACACACGCACACGCACGCACACGAGTGAGGCACGCGTCCAGCGCGCTCCTCTCGCGGTCCCCCGGCCAGGCTGCCTCGCTTTACCTCGCGCCCAGGGAGGATGCGGGCCGCCGCTGGCTCTGTCGCTGCCATCAGCCTCCGCCGCGCGCCCCTTCGGTTTCAGCAGACTGGGGCCCTCTGCGTTTTCAACAGGTACCATGGTCACGTAGAAGTTACAGCCGTTCCCTGGACACCAAACCGCCCCGACTTCCCCGGCTGACACGAGCGGTCACTTTCCCCATGGTTGCATGCTAAAGAAAGGTGGGGAAGGAAAAAAAAAAAACTTCCAGCAAAGCCAATGTGATTTGTGACCAACTTTGTTTCTATTTCCGAAAGCTTTGCCCTTTTCGGTGACACACGCCGTTGCTATTCCAAGCAGCCTATCACAGGCGGTGGGAGGGCCGAATCTCCCGAGGATTGTTTTTGCCTGCAGATGCAGAGTTGGAAGCAAAGGATTGCAAGGCTTGGGAACCTGAGCTCTGACAGTGTTTGGCCCTTCGGTAGTGGGGAGCTCTCCTCTGTCTGCACCTTTGAAAAGAGGCAGAGAAAAGAAACAGGCAGATCCAAGCTCAAGCTGAGGGAGGGCCTGGAATACTCACAGATGGTATTAGTTAATCTTGCAGAGGGAGGAACAGTTTATGCAGAGACACACCAGAAAGGAAAATGTGTCAATTTTTCTGCAAGACTGTTATTCCAAGAGTCATGACACTTAGGGAAGTCAACAAAGCATGAAGCATAGCCATTGTTTCAACCTGATGCTACACTAGGTAAGCACCATACATACTCGCTCTCTCCAAGGCTGGTCAGACAAATGGAGGCCTGAGACCAAGCATAGGCAAAGTCAGAATGCACAGATTCTTTGGACTTTTTGCACCCTGGGATTACAGCAAAATAATCCAGTTTATTTATGCATAGTTGTTTAAGAGAGGAACTGACCCTAAATTTCTTACTGGGTTGCCAGATAGCCTGATGGCAGAAGGAGGGGCATTTCCAATTCTGAAAGGCTAGACTTTATGGTCCATGGTGTGGCTGTGGTATCATCCAATCTGGAGCAAAATCAGGGCCTGAGAAAAAGGACTCCCCCCCCCCCACCCCGATTTGTGACTATATTTCTATAAAAGGCCTTATAGAGTTATGACATTTTACTTTCAGTTATATACTTAGCAAATCATATTTCTTGAAAAAGCTTAGAGAAGAAATTGGGATCACTTTTGAAAATCATTAAGAGTGAAAACTAAAACTTGTGGAGCACTAATGTGCCCGAAATTATGCTGAGGGCATTAACTCAAATGGTTCTTTTGGGGGAAGGGAGAAACTGCAAGGCAGGTACCCATAGTACAGAGCAGAAAATGGAGGCAAAGTGGCTCACCTCAAAAATAGCAGCTAGCCTGTGGTATAGCTGAGACCAGGAAGCCAGGTGATCTAATGCCATAATGCTTATATGCTAACTTTCAAGCCTTGTGCTTCTCTGATTTTCTTGGTTTCTGTCACTTTCAGCACTTCTTGACCTGAAGAAGATGAACTACAGCTTTTGGTCCTTGTCATTCCTGTGGACAGAGAAACAAGTCTGTGCTTGCAGAGGCAGAAGGTGAACTGTGCCATCACTTTCATCATTTTGGCTGGATCCTAACACACCTCTAAATTAGCTTATGATTTATACATTTCCTTTGCTCATCGTTAGATGTTTCCATGTATTTCTTTTTCTTCAGAGAATCAGGCAGCAGATGGAAACAAACCTGTGTGGATGCAGCTAGTGTTTATTATGCACCTGTTATATGTCAGCTGCTAGTGCTGGAAAATGACAGTTATTCGAGTGTAGCCCAGCCCCCTTCCGATTCAGAGGTGAGTGGTTCAGACTCCAACAGATCAGCCTGTCCCCACTATAGAATGTGTGGTGCGGTGATGCTGTGGCTTGTGTTTGTTCCCAGGATGTGTTATCATTGTAGGAGCAACAGGTTTTTGTTTTTGTTTTTTTATCTTCAAGACACACATATTCTAATCAGCTCTTGGTAGTTTCTTGGCTTCTATCTTCTCTCTGCTGGGAATTGATGACCTTGTCTGGGGACATGTTCTTGTGATGGATCAGCTGTATAATTGCTTTTGTTTAATGATCTCAGGCCCCGTGTCTCCAGCAGCTTCCTGGCACCATGGATGTGTTGGGGGTGTTTTCTGTAGTCTTTGACCAAGTAGAAGATAAACCTAATTCTGGAATCCTTTACTATGGTGAAGAGCAATTCAGCAATTCTCAGTTTGCTTTCTGTAGCTGAACCACATGGGATCTCCTAGGGCAGAAACCAAGGAGATGTGCAAAGGAGTAGCACACAGCGTGACTGCCACGTTGCTGCTGGTGCCTCTGACCCTGTTCTTTATTTCGTTGTTGACCCAGCGGGGGCCACTAGTTCTCCCCAGCTCTGTTCTCTGCTCACTTCTCTCTTTTAAACAGAGCAAAGTCTTAGGAGAAAAAGTCTTTTCTCCCAGACTAATGGGAAATATTCTTCTGACAAAATTTCCTGAAGAACACTGTACTTCTCCTTCATAGTATTTTGTACACTTACCATGTGACAGTTTCACTATAGTTACATACAGCAGTTTGATTCAGCCTTCCTTTTTTTCTGCTAGATCACAGGTTCTGTGACAGCGAACTGTGTGTTTGGTTCACTATGGACATTCCAAGTTCCTGGCACAGAGTGAATACACAGTAAATATTTGCTGGATGACAGACTGATTCCTGTAAATCCAACTAACTTTAGCATGACTAGAATGTAAGCTCCATGAGGGCAAGCCCCTATGTCTATCCTGAGCATTCGTTCATCTCTGTGTCCCTAGTTCTAAGCATAGTGCCAGACATGCAGCAAACTCTCAATAAATACATGTTAAATAAGCGACTGCTCACATATGGGCTGTTAGTGACCTGATTAACTATGTAGTTTTTAAAAACCCCTTTGACTACTTTCTGTAACACTTTGTCCTTTTTTTCTTTTTGGGGGCTCTCTTTAAAGCAAGTATCGCCACAGGCTGTCCCTCTTTAATGGAATTTGAGCCACTACTATCATTAAAAACTGTTCCTCCACTTAAGGAAGATATAATCAACAGATGGACTGTTCATCTCCCATAATTCCAATAATTTTGCTACATACCATTTCAGACTGGGCTTCCTTGATGACTCAGTGGTAAAGAATTCACCTGTCAATGCAGGAGATGGGGGTTTTGTCCCTGGGTGGGGAAGATGCCCTGGAGAAGGAAATGGCACCCTACTCCAATATTCTTGTTAGGAAATCCCATGGACAAAGGAATCTGGAAGGCTATAGTCCATGGGGTTGCAAAAGAGTCAGACATGACTTAGCGATAAAACAACAGCAACCAGCATTTCAGACCACCTGCTCATAGGTAATGCTACCAAATCCCAAACTATACATTACGGCTTATAAACTGACAAGGCAAATAAGAAGAGATGAAGAAGAAGGTAAGCAGCATCACAAGGCTGTGGACCTCTGCTGGGTATCCTCCCTCCAGGTCTATTTTTATGATGATTTTTCTTAAACCTTGCAACAACTTTGTGAAGTAAAGACTACTGCCTTCATTTGGCAGAAATTGAAACTGAGAGCTTTATGAAACATGTCACAGATCAAAACAAACAAACACACAAAACCACTTTCCAATATTTCATCCTGAAAATTTTCAATCTAGGAAAACCTAGATTCTATAATCAACATTTTACTATGCTTGGTCTTTCTCCTGTGTGCCTGGATTTTAATCCCTCTATCCATCCATGGATTCATTTTAGATTTTATACATTTTAAAGTAGGTTGAAATACTTTGGTATGTGTGTCATTAACTAGAGTCCAATAATTGTTTAGGTTCTTTCTTTTTCTTTGAGACATTTTACATACAACAATATGCACAAATCCCATGTGTAACATTATATAAATTCAGAGACGCACATACGTATGTCCACTCCAAACCTCTACTAAGTTACAGAACATGACTATCATCCAATAAGTCCCTTTATGTCTTTTCTGAGTAACTTCCCATCAAAACCCCTAGAAGCAACCAATGTTCTGATTTTATCCACATGGGTTAACCTTCCCTGGTCTAGCTCCTCATAGAATGGAATCAAAGAGTATATACTCCTGCGTAAGGCTTCTTTCACTGACCATGATTTTGACATTCATCCATATGTTTGTGTGTATTAGTAGATTATTCTGCTTATTGCTGACTAGTATTCCATGGGTAAATATATCACAGTTTATTTATCCATTTTCCTACTGATGGGCACCTGGGTTGGTTTGTTTGGGCTATTATAAATAAAGTTGTTATGAGCATTCTTGCACAAGTCTTTTTGTAGAACATAGCATTTCAAAGCACAGCAGTCCAAATCCATTTGATTCCAAAACTCACATGCTTTCCACCACACCCTGTTGCTTCTCTGTGGTGCCTCCCATTGCCCTATGTTTTTGTAAAATGTACCTCCTGAGTTTTTATCCTAAAATAGTTCATTACAATGTAAACACAAACGGCGAATGTGATCTCTGGACAAAAGCTTTCCAGATACCAATGCAGGTCTTTTTGGCCATACTCCAATAAAACACTCATTTGGTAGGAGTGTTTTGGAAGAATATTTATTATTTTACATGTTCATACTATCCAAATAAGTTTTTCTAAGGGTATTCAATATTTTTAATGAGTAGAATATTAATAGTTACAAGATATTGATTAAACTTCCTCAGATTACAAAAGAAGTCTGATTAAATTCATTCTGTGTCCAGTTGATATAAAATTATAAAATAAATTGTTAAAAGAAGGATAATACAAGAATATAATAAAATGTCATTTCTATTATTTGAAATGAAAAAAATCAGAGTAGAAAACTGCATGCTGATTACCACCATAACAATGTTTTTTTAAAGTATGCATATTGGCAGAGACAAGAAGGGAATTTGGAAAAATTGAAAATAACAAATACACTGAGAGAGTAATCTTAGGTCACAGAAGGAATTTAGACTAGTCCTAATCATGGGTAAATCATGTGTAAAAAGTATTTTCTGAAAAAATGTTTTCTTAATGTTGTTGTAATACTGTCTATCTAATAAGTATAAATCTGAAGAAAAGTACTTCAAATTAGGATTGCCATAAACCGTTGTGCAAGACATACATCACACA